ACACATATATATATACACACACATATATATATACACACACATATATACACACATATATATACACATATATATATACACATATATATATACACATATATATACACATATATATATATACACATATATATATACACATATATATATATACACACATATATATATATACACATATGTATACACACACATATATATACACATATATATACACATATATATACACATATATATATATACACATATATATACACATATATATACACATATATATACACATATATATACACATATATATACACATATATATATATACACATATATATACATACACATACATATATACACATATATATACATACACATACATATTCATATATATATATATTCATATATATATATATTTTTATTTCCCCCCCCCCTAGCTTTAGGGAAGAAAAGTAGACATCCATAGTTGCGAGGGAAGGAATGCTTCTCAAAAAATATTTAAATGCACTTTAAATAATTACATACATCCTTCTTTTAAAAAAGGCATGGAATAAACTACTAAGGATCCAGAGATTCCACTCTGTAGATGCGAGTTTTGGTTTTCGCTCCGTTCCTGAACCTCTCCGTGGTTGAACTCTGACCGTCGGCACCGACGGGCGTTCTGACCGCCCGGGGCCAGTTGATACACTGCATGGCATTAATACATGAGCAAACGTCAGGCAACAGATGTGCAAAAGAGTGTGGGAAATACACAACCACTGTGTCACCTTACAGGCCCAACTGATGGATTAGTGGAGGATTTTATGAGCCAGCTGTAAATCTAAAGCAAGGAGGAGTCGACTCCATGTTAAGCCCTTCAATGTAAGGCTTACTGGGCCAACGAACAAAGGAATGCATGGCAGAGGGAAGTAGGCAGTTTTTCAACCAACCCTTTCATTGTAAACCAGCAATTATCCTGAACAAATAATCATGAATCAAATTAAAGCAAGTGAGCAAAATAAATAAGTAAAAATCTCATTGACAAAGAATTATAAAGAAGACAGGACGGCTGTGTCACAGAGACGTCACAAAGAAAGCCGCGGTAGATCTTTGATAGTGTTTTAAGAGACGCAGAGTTGTTTCAAGTCTCTTTAAAAATGGTAATAGCCCGCTGCTGAATAACACACACATGAGAGGAAACACAGACATTAAAAGTGACAAACAATGCTTTGGGACGGGCATCGATACACAAGTTATCACAACGTATTCCGATTAGATCACCAAACTCACATTAAGGGCGACACTGATGGCGTCATCATTTTCTGACAGGCACAGGTGGCCGAGAGATTTTCCGCAAAGCCGCAAATGTAAAGTTCATCGAATTCACCAGTATTGTTCATTTGCGTTCAGCATGTACTTATACTTGTTTTGTTAAGTATTTAAAAAAAAAAAAAAAAAAAAAAAGTCAAAATCAGGTACAATAACAATAAATTATTTGTTTACAGATCTTTTCTTGTCATTACAAGTTGAGATGAGTGTCAGGGGGATGATGAATGACAACAGTCAGCAGAGAGCGCCGGTCACAGTGCTGTTCACCCCCGAGAGACAGAAGGGAGGAAGGACAGGGCAAAGACTTCTCTGCAAGCTGAGTGCAGTAGAAAAGCTGAACACTGTGATGCAGACTCCTGAACCGCCACCGAAGAGCTACAGTCTTATTGTCATCACCCTCTGTGATCGGTTCCAGTCCAGAAGAGGGGATAAGTTCTCCCATGTGTCCACCTGTTACTAACATCCGCCCGCCATTGCTCCATCCGCGGTACCCAGCCCCCGCTCGTTCTAGGATGCAGGAGTTCGGGCCGCCGTCCCCTCGGGAGCAGCGATGTGGAAGACGGAGCCGATGCGCAGGAAGAAGCGCCTGAGGACGGCCCGCAGCTCTGGGATCAGGTCAAACTGCATCATTTCACACAGGTGGGGGTAGTAGCAGGACGCATGGGGCTTGAACTGGAGAGGAAGTGAGAAAACATACATTGGCACCACGATTTTAACCAAGTGGTGTACTGTGTGTGCTTTAAAGGGGACATCTCACGGAAAAAAAGTCACTTTTTCCAGAGGTGAAACTATATATTTCTCACAAGCCAATCAGAGCAGACAGGGCTGTCTTAAAGAGACAGGCGCTAAAATGGAGCATTTCAAACAGAGGTTGAATACAAGTATATATTCAGACAATATGATAAAAAGAATGTGTTTTTGAATGTGTTTTTTAAAGTATGTAAACGTGTTCTAGTATAAGCCCCAAATACAAGTATGAACATGAAAATGAGCATATGTCCCCTTTAATTCCTGCTAACCAAAGTATTTGCTGAATATGTTTCCAGTGTAATTGGATATATTTACAATATACAGGACAGAAAGGAGGAGCGGTTGTTCTGGGTAGTGTTGGTCCTGCTGGGAGGCCAATAAGTTCACAGCAGGGTGTTAAATGAATGTGTCAGGGGGAGATTTCTGTCTTCACTGATGCATGTTTTTGCAGCTCTTATGGGCAATTTCTTTGAATTACGAAATTGCATTCAGGCAAATAAACACAATTTGTGTAGTAAATATTTGTTTTTACAACTTGCCTAAAATCCACAGCAGGCCTTGCACAAGAGTCTGGTGCCGGCCAGTCCACGTGAAAACAATACTGCTCTCATTTTTTGTTGATGCAGTGGTTAGTGTGGTATTGGCTTTTTTTTTTTTCTAAAGCGGGCCGCACGGCGCCAACATTTCCTCCTGCTTCAAGCTGCATGCTGGGTTGTTTTCTAACCAAACAACTTCTACAGTTTTAGTCTAAAATGCCCAGGAAAGAAACCCTGAGTCATGGGCTGCATGAATCATCGGTGAATCATACACTCACACAGAGTGCATGATTCATAGGTGACAGCTCACAAAAACATGAAATCAATACTAAAGGAAATATTAAAAAAGGGTCAAATACTTTTTTGACCCCCGTCCTTTTCAAACTAATGGACCTTTTATCAACTCCCTGTGGTATCTTATTTCTGATCGTAGTTCAGATTTAATCACAGTTGGCCGTATTTATGATCCAGAGCTACATAACGTTTGAGTCCTGAGGCACACCTGTCCAGCCTCAATCAACTAACGTCACTAACGTTGAGTTGGAAGCAGCGTCGGAAATACACGAGGGCAAAGGGCAAAACTGCCCCTAAGAAATATCATTTTGCCCCTGATATCACTAGGAGAGGGGCAAAAAATGCCCCCGAACTTTCTAAACGAATAAATAAATGGAGCGCTTCTTAATCAGACCTGTGACTGTGGTCAACTCAGCAGACACTTACATGTTAGTGCACCTATATGCTGACATTCACGGTAAACTCATTCAAACGGCGCAGATCGGGAGTGAGCGAAGGACTTTGAAAGTTATCGGAAAGATTAACGTGAGACAACATCCGGTTTCTTCAGACGAACATCCGGTTTTCAGAATAAGATGCCAACAAAGTATACATATTGCATAATGGAAATTAGATTAAATGAATTATATTCACATTAAGTATAAAACATGCTACCTGCATCTCGTGAGTTAAAGGTAAAATACACCTAAATTGTGCATAAAGTGTCTTTATTCTTTGATTTGAGGGTTGCTAATGAATAATACCTGACTGACAGTCAATTAAGATATTTTACTAAGTAAAAACTCTGAACTGAATTTGTACCTTCAAATGGCACATTTTTTAAATTTTTAAGGTGCTATAAAAATGTTTTTCTCAAAAATTCAACACAATGACTAATGCATAATTTCAGGACAAAAATGGGTAATATCACAATATTTGAGGTGCTACAAAAATATTTTTTCTCAATAATTCCATACAATCACTAATGTATATGTAATCAAGGCATCGTTGACTTAATAATTGTTAACAGTTTAAAAAATTGAATAATAAATAACCACAAAGAAATGAGAATAAAATTGAATATGATTGTCTGATTTATGATTGTTTTTTGTTAAATAAATCTAAGAAAACACTTTGAATCTGTAGACTACTGCAAGCCTAAATAAGTATATTTATTATTATTTATAACAAAGGTTAAATGTTATTTCACAAGTTTCAAAAAGTGCCCCCAATTTTTTGAAAATGCCCCTGGATTTCAGTCAGTGGGGGCAAAAATTGGCCCCAAAAAAATATGTAAATTTCCTACCCTGGTTGGAAGTATACTCTCTGTGTGTGTGTGTGTGTCATAGACATTATCTAAAGACGGACCACATGACAGCTCCCCAAAAGTGAAGCCAAAACACTTCGATCAGTCATAAATCCTGCCCCCTCCATGTTAGTGGTCAAACAATGTTTCCCCTAAGATGTTTTCTGCAATTTTAGGCAGTCGTTATCACGCTGATGTGTGCTGAAGTGTTCACTTTTAAATCAGTTATTTGATGTTTTAAAAACAGTTGTGATTGACAGCTGCTCTGAGTGAAGGAGGCTTGGGAACTGTACTTTAGAGGAGATGTAACTTTAACTTTCCATAACTGTCACGGGTCAGTGTACAACAACATCTGTCAATAAATGTATGGATAGAGATATTACAGTTGTGTCTTTCCAGCCAAACAACCACCGCGTTGCTAAAGTAGCAGCTAGGTGGCTCATGCTAACAAGCTGCGGCTGTGCTCGGCTCGTGATTGGCTCGGGGGAGGTGTCTCGGCCGGTCACAATTGGTGCGACTCCAGCCCACCCGATCTCCAGAAAAACTCAAGATGGCAGCCACCCGATATTTTGGCTTCCCTTTTGTACAGTGGGAGGTGGAGAACCGTCGTCCATTCATATGTATACAGTCTACATGGTGTGTGTGTGTGTGTTCCTGCCTTGTTATCGGGCAGCCGTAGCGTCCTGGTGAGCAGCAGCATCAGCAGGCTGTTCCAAGCCTCCCTGTGGCTCTCTGAGGTCAGACTGATGAAGTAGGCCAGAGCTTCACTACACACCCTGAGAGAGACCACCCAACACACACGAAGGATTATAACAAACACAACACTGATGTATCTCCACCACTGAAGAGGCAGAGGTGGTTGGTCTGTACCAGAGCTACTGCAGCACAATCATGATTATCATTACTGTTATTATAGAAGGCTACACGTCTTGAATTAAAGCACCAAAACCAGTAATTTAACGACAAACACCACACATACGTACACGTGATGTAATACATGAGTCAACTGCTGCGAAGCAGCTGCTCAGTGAAAAACACAAGGTGATTTGTACCAGGCTCTGGCATGCCAATACATTCTACTAAAAACACACACACACACACACACACACACACACACACACACACACACACACACACACACACACACACACACACACACAGTGTACAGTTCATAAATATATAATGAGTGTATGAGCCATGTGTCAAAACAGCTCCCCCAACACGGAACAAACGCCAGTGCTGCACTTTTCTGCAAGGGACACAGCTGGTGCTTATTTATCTAAGGTTCAACGTTTATGCAAGCAACAACAAACTGGGAACACCTCAGAGTCAGCAGATTAACCATTTGTTTTTTTTACAATGCTTTTTCTGTCAGTTAGATCAGAAAAAAAGCATTTTTTTTAAGGATAAGTCTGGTGATATATATGGTGGTGTATCTTTCTTATTGGTTTCACACAAAAGACTAAAACCGTGTCCGTATGTTGTACTCACAGCAGCAGGCGTATCTGGATGTCCGGCCACGAGGCCTGCAGCTGGAGGTCAGAGTACATCCTGAACAAGATCCTCAGGCTGCAGGCCAGACTGCTGGTCTCCTGCTTCAGCAAGTTGGGCTTAGATTTCCCTTTGAAGCCTGAGGGCAAAAAGAGACCAATCATCGGCAACGAAACCCAAAACAACAACAGAGGGCTTTGCATGGCTTGGTGATTATATTCTGTATCTCTGTCAAATAAAGGCAAAACATGACAAAACAATGACGATCTATGCAGGTTTCTACCTCAACAAAGACTTTTTAGGCCAGTGAGGTTAAAAATATATTCTAAGACACTGCGAGGCTGTCTCCCTCACAAGACACCGTCTCATAACTTTCACATGCTTCTGAAACACTCTCCTGTACGTCACATCTATAGAACAAGTGCAAAAGACAGAGATAATTTAATGAACTGAGCTGTCCCGGAGGACCTTTCCTCTCCATCTACCTGCCCTCCACAACGCTGTCCTCTGCTCGTTGTTGGAGTTGAAGTCCTTGGCGAAAGTGTGCGACTCCAGCAGGCAGTCCAGCAGCTTGAAGAGGTGTGCAGAGGTCATGTGTGTGTACATGCCTTGCTCTGAGCCCGCCTCGCCTCCCTCAGCCTCCGACTCCTCCAGAGCGTCTCGCTGACAGGAGGACCGTTTTAGACAACTTTAGCCAAGTATAGCTGACAATTTGAGATTACACAGGGCTGTCCCTTTAAGCTTTTTTTAGTGTGTGAATTATGAGCTTTCACTTTTGCCAACACAAAGGGCAATTTTACGATCTATCAACACAGTAGCTGCTGTAACTTACCTGTGCAGCGGCCATGTTCTCAGCATCCTCCTTCTTGCTGGTTGCTGGGTAAAACACAATGTTGTCTATGGTCTGGATAAGTTCAAGCTGTACGACGCATTTAATCAGCAGCCCTGCAAACAGCTTCTGGTCCGAAAGTCCTTCAGAACAAAAACATAAAAACAAGTGGTGAAGAGACATGAGTGTAGAACTGACTTTGTAGAGGGCAGTTAAAAAACAGTCACACAAATATGTGATGTAATCGTTTATTTTATCCATTTGCTTTTCAAATAGAGGTTCAGGGTGAATTTGCACCTTGCAGTGGGTGTGAATGTGTGTGTGTGTGCACTCACTAGCATTGGACTTGCCCTTCCACGTGTCGTCGCTGGACATCTGACTGTGTCCTCTCTCAGACAGAGCTCTGTCGTAGCTGCTCTGGGACACGCTGTCGAAATCAGCATCCTGGAGACAAACGGCAACAAACGACATGGACATTCCCAGGTTAGTGTCCTACTTCTGACACGGTGGGAAGGTTGGTAGGAAATATAGCAGCACTTTCACTGGCTGAAAGCAGCGAATCATGTTTCAAACCAAGTGTGAAGCATGTGCTGTAATTATTGTCCAGTTTATACGAGTGTATTTGTTTATTTTCTTACAAAATGCTTGCCATCTGCAGTTTCATCTTCCTGTCCAGCCGGTCGCCAAGTCAACAAACTGAAAAGCAAACAGAATGGCAGATCAGGCGTGAGGTGATAACTTACATCCTGTCACAGAAGCACAATAACCTTCAACTACATTAGCCTCACTCTTTGCTTGACTTCACTCATTATCTTCCCTCTGAGGTGCTTTCTTTGACAACTGTGAGTTTTGTCTTCAAAACAGTAACATCTGTCTGAATGAACGCTATTATCAAGACGTTCCAGTGCAACATTTTTGAGCGGATTGAATTGAAGCGAAGTTGCGTGCAATGGTTCAGGACGTACGCGTGAGGGCTGGTGTTTTGGAAGATCTCCAGCATACAGGAGCAGGTGATGTTCCAGACCTCGGGGCTGAACTTCTCTCCATTCAGGATCACCAGGTTCTCCAGACAGTTTGTCCCCGACCGAGCCAGCTGCTCGTTGTCTGTGAAGGAAAGGTTAATCAGCACCTTTGGAGAAACAGACAGGAGTGCCAGCACAGGACCAAAGCAACACACTGCTGTGGATGGAGGCACATGTATTTTCGACAGTTCAAAATATCAGTTTAAGTGCTATTTTTAGAAAATTTTCAAAATGTTTTTTTTTTTTTAACTGAAACATAATGCATAACATAATTTTTGTATATACCCTTAATGATCTATCACTAACTACAAACTACCAGTTCTGCACAGCACCTAATCTGACACAGCATAGTGGGTGTTACCCCTCTGCCTTGAGAGCATTATTTGCTCTTTGTCCGTACAGTTGAGTATGACGGTGTTCTGCTTCGCCTGTCTAAATTAATTTTAGCACCCACCTTGCCTGACACACCACTGTAGCTGTGTGAAAATGTCAGCCAGCAGGATTTCACTGAGAGGCTCATAAAACTGGGTGAACACGTCACAGATGGCATACAGAGCGTGGTTACATGTCGTCGTCATCCACTCAGTTTTCTGGAGGCAAACAAGAGAAACAAAAATTTCACTCTCACAAAAGAGGATATCCTTCAGATATCCAAGTGGCTTGTCGAGACACAGACAACCGTGGGACTTGACGGCCTGCTACCAGTGACCTCTGACCTCTGTCTGCTGCTCGGGGAGCTTCATGTTGTCAAAGATGCGGAAGACGATTCTGAAGAGGTCGTGCCACCAATGCTTCTCGAAGGTGTGACCGTAGCTCTTCATGATCTCGAACATGACCGTGAGACCTCTGTCAGAAGCAAAGACAAACAGTTCACACATCAGTCTTGTTGCTTCACAGCTCTGCACCCAGCAGGAGCAGAGAGGGCACGATATGGGATCACAGGCTCAGCATGGGCTCGTGATGCAGTCTGATAACACTTTTGTGTTAAATCCTTTTGTTTGTTTAGTTTTCTTTTTTATATGTTTTGTACTTGGAAGCAATCGGGGCAGGTTAAGTACTAGCATTAGGGGGGTGGAGGCTTTGTAGGACACCTCACTGTAGCTGAAAGTGCTTCAAATTCAAACTAGTCACCACAGTGAAATGACAGGACGAGCAACACTCTACGCTGAGCTGTTTATCTACCTGGTCCGGACATCCAGCTGGCAGCGGTTGATGATACAAGAGAGCTCGAACAGAATGGGAAACCAGCCGCGGACCCACACCCGATCACCAGGGGCCACATTCATGTCATCACTGGTGTATTCCCTCAGGGCCTGGACAGGGACACATGAAGTGTAATGTTACATAATAAGGTTAAAAGACATCACATAGTGCTATTCGCAAATGACAGATAAATGCCATTATCGTGTCACATTACTGCATCAGTACAGACACAACTCAGTTCCCACCTGTGGCCTTTCTGAGACGTATTTAGCGCAGTGTCGTATGAGTCTGATGGCCTCCATGCTGGTGTCAGGAAAAGCTGCGTTGCAGACAAACTCCGACAGGCACTTCACTGCATCTTGGAACGAATCGATAGCAGCTGCAAAGTGCTCCTGGAAGGTGTTCACTGAGTGATGAAGAGAGGGAACGAAGATAAGAAAACAAGAATGATTTCAAGATTCCAAGAGCAATGGAAGGCAGGGCCGGCCAACTAGCTAACTTTAACCTAGCCTAAGCTAGGGTTAGCCAGCTAGTTGTAACTTCTACGCGGCATGGATCTGGCGTTGGTTGCTTCGTAACACGAACAGGACGCTGACTGCAGTTCACATTAACGGCCACCGGTGTCAATAATAACAAAGGTTTTGTGAAAGTTACATATAGCACCTTTAAATCTCATCTCATCCTCACATTTTTATAAAAGCTTAAGCAGGACAGAGGATCTGTCTCGCCGTCAGCTGAGCAGTTTGAAACAGCACAACCTCTTGTCACAGTTTTTGAGCCAAAATGGCTGCCACGAGGAGAGAGCTGCAGTCATACTCACTGACAATGTGCCCAGTGGTCTGGAAGGCCAGCTCCACGATGGTCTCATCGTGGTCGGAGGCTGCCTGGTGAAACACTGAGAAGATGTTCTTCCAACCTGAACGGATGTTGGCCGCCTGGGAGTTAACCATCTGAGCCACACACCTGATCACCATGTCTCTGATAGTGGGGGACCTGGGGGGAGGGGGCAGTGTTATCTATTGTAAACAACCCATTTGTTCTCTGAATCATTATGTAGCTTCTTACTATAAATATACAGAGGCCACTTGTGTACTGAGAAAGTCTCTCATCTGGCCCTATTAGAACATATTACCTGTTCTTCTTCATGATGTGCTCAAAGGGCCTGAGGAAGTCTTTCTGGAAGCGGAAGTTGGCCAGCTCTCCTTTCTCCAAGAACTTCATGGAGAGTTGCCTCAGTGAGTCCACAGCAAAGATGGCTACATCCTCATTGGGGTTACAGCCCACCTAGAGGAAGACAACAGTCATGAGTGGGGCTCAGCTGTTAGCTCAGCTATTAACTATGATTTGTTCCTTTCCAAGACAGTTTGGTCAACATGTGTACTGTACACCCTAATTTAATTTAACATTTATTGTTTGTTGTTTTTTTTGGCCACTTGGGGGAAGGGCAGCAAGCTGTAAGAGCAGACAATTTGACAAATGTCAACAAAAGTTGGTTATTTACACATCCAGCACACACAGAGCAACATTAGCATTCGTTTAGCGCTGTTTCTGGCCAACATTCCGACTGTACGGAATAATTGCACAGTGACAGACTTAAAATGGCTTTACTGATTCACTGTTCCATCCATTTTTGGATCTTTGTACCTTTGGGATTGGAACAAACAGCTATGCATGTGTGTTTACAGTGACACTACATGGGAGATTAAAAGCTCTACTTGAACTTGTGTGTCCAATCTTAGAACTACACATGCCCCACCTAAGCACATTAAAATAAATGACAACGTCGTGCAAACTCACAGCCTGTGTAGACATAATTAAAGAGCCTTTTTACGTCCCTGTAGCAGTAATAAATCAGCAAGGTGCCACACAGTGTCATCCCATTGTTACCTTCTTCACTATATGTATATATACAGTGGGGCAAAAAAGTATTTAGTCAGCCACCAATTGTGCAAGTTCTCCCACTTAAAAAGATGAGATGCCTGTAATTTTCATCATAGATACACTTCAACTATGAGAGACAGAATGGGGGGAAAGAATCCAGGAAATCACATTGTAGGATTTTTAATGAATTAATTGGTAAATTCCTCAGTAAAATAAGTATTTGGTCACCTACAAACAAGCAAGATTTCTGGCTCTCACAGACCTGTAACTTCTTCTTTAAGAGGCTCCTCTGTCCTCCACTCGTTACCTGTATTAATGGCACCTGTTTGAACTCGTTATCAGTATAAAAGACACCTGTCCACAACCTCAAACTGTCACACTCCAAACTTCACTATGGCCAAGACCAAAGAGCTGTCAAAGGACACCAGAAACAAAATTGTAGACCTGCACCAGGCTGGGAAGACTGAATCTGCAATAGGTAAGCAGCTTGGTGTGAAGAAATCAACTGTGGGAGCAATTATTAGAAAATGGAAGACATACAAGACCACCGATAGTCTCCCTCGATCTGGGGCTCCACGCAAGATCTCACCACGTGGGGTCAAAATGATCACAAGAACGGTGAACAAAAATCCCAGAACCACACGGGGGGACCTAGTGAATGACCTGCAGAGAGCTGGGACCAAAGTAACAAAGGCTACCATCAGTAACACACTACGCCGCCAGGGACTCAAATCCTGCAGTGCCAGACGTGTCCCCCTGCTTAAGCCAGTACATGTCCAGGCCCGTCTGAAGTTTGCTAGAGAGCATTTGGATGATCCAGAAGAGGATTGGGAGAATGTCATATGGTCAGATGAAACCAAAATAGAACTTTTTGGTAAAAACTCAACTCGTCGTGTTTGGAGGAGAAAGAATGCCGAGTTGCATCCAAAGAACACCATACCTACTGTGAAGCA